ACCGATTTGTAGGGTGGTCAAAAGGTAATTGGAGATGAAAATAACTATACTGGTCACTAAAAATTGTTTTGATTCCATTAAGTGTTCAGTAACCATCCGAAATAGCAGACTTGTGTATTTCAAACGACACAATTTATATAGCAACATGAAAATCAAACAATAATGAGCAAAAAAACAGTTGTACATTTGCGGTTCATAACCAGGTACTCTCCCAAACCCTAAACATAGAAGAGGACTAACGCACGAGTGATAAAAGTTCCATAGTAAAACGAGGATGAAGAAAATTCCGATGATAATTTTGTTTTCTACGTATAATCTGCCGTTTTGTTTCTTTAAAAGGAATGGAAATGCACCACAAACAAAATTTATGTAACAGAATATTGACAGGAGCATGGCGAGCAAATGTGGGACAAAACTGAGCAATCAAGAGTTGTTATGAAAATTATAGTTGAAATTTTAGTGGTACTTCTATTTACCAATAATAGCACACATTAAAATATAAATACAACAGTTGATACTATTTAAGTACTCCAACAAAGTTTTATTAATGTGACCATTATGAAACAAATTATAGGCTGATTTGTAATCAATAGAAATTATCTTGTGATGGAGGCACATTTTATGCTTTATGTATTTATAAAATTTAACATGTTATTTACTTTTAAGTTGAGTGTAAACAATAACAAGTATGGATTTGATTATTTAAATATTGACCTAATGATATAAATACCCCCGCTGCAGCAAACCTGCTGACTAAGCGAATTCCCATTTGCCTGATTGGATTTACACTAAAATGTCTCCTTAAAAATAACACATTTATTCCCTATTTAAATAGCATCAGTTTAACGAGTACCTAGGTTTGCTGCAACAGGGAGGGTAAAAAGGGGTTTTTTTAATAACCAAGTTGAAAAATAAATCTTGGACAAACACTAAAAAGTATCTTTACCTTTGTCAAGCAGCTCAAACGTTGTAACTGTTGGTTACAGCCGTTTTGGCATCACAATGAACGGCTTAACCAGTGTCGTTGAAGTTAGAACACGTAACACACACGATTATTTACAAAACGATCAAAAATTATAAAAACGAACAGGCCTGTCACACAAACGGTATTGGTTGACATTTTCAACGTACTGTAAATATTCATGTGTTGTGTGTTTTCACTTCACCGATGCTACTACCGTCGAGATTTGTGTCTGACGATGGTATTTGAGTTGCTTAACGAAGGTAAATCCTACTTTTTAGTTGCGCCACAGCTCATGGTCTAAAACCCTGAACTTTAATTGGAAAAAAAAATATCCGTACTCCTCGGGACCGAGGCCAGTCTGGATAACGGTTTTTCCGGTTAAACGGTCGTCCCCCAAAACTCGGTAAAACGGACCATTTAAATGCATACTGTATAAGACGATAATGATTATTACATATTTAGACATGTGATCACTGGTCTCTAATCTTTCCTACAAGAACTGTCGTTTCAGTACCGCCCATTTCCTGCTGATCCAGTCCGGTTAAACCGATGTGCTGATAAAAGCTAAGTTTCAGAATAATAAGACCTAAAATGACCTGATGCACAACTAAAAATACAACCACAAAGTAATAATATGCAACTAAAAAGTTAATCTGTGTGTAATGATAAGTTGATTTTGGTGGCGTGAAAAATCTTGTGTATATTACAAGCACAAACGGTCATTGCCGCTCTCAAAATGTATGGAATGTATGGCCGCACAAAGTAATGGCTTCGCTCTTATTTTTCCTGAAGTGGAATAAGATATTGCTCAGAACACTCTGCCCCAAATAACTGTTAAGTTTTTTGCAAAAGAAAAAGAGTTAAGGGTTTTCTTTTATACTGACAACTTTACCACAGTATTAGAATTTCAACAGACGTATCGGATATAGGAAATCTTCCGAGAAAAATATTTGTAATACAGTAGAACCCCTCATATCCAACCATGACAGGATCGGGCCATGGTCGGAATGGCCACCAGTTTGGATATCGAGAGGAGCATATCTTTCAGTCTTGGCAATACCTGTGCACATCCTGCAGTCTCAGCGACAGCAGTGATCACCTCTACCACAGTTACGGCAACATCCATGATCAGCTTTTTGGTTAACAGAATGCGCTCAACATTATTGCCAACAATTGAAGGAGGACAAGTGACGGTTGGACTCTAGGTCGGATATGAGAGGTTATACTGTACACATATTACCTGGATATTCAAATGTTTGACTGCTTCTGAAAACCACAGCAGGTTTGATAGATTGGTCACAGCGTAGATAAAGAAGAACGCGACGTTTACACAAAATGAGTTTAGAGTAGTTTTTGTATCAAATATTCTAAAAATGAGTATTATAAAATCATTCACTCTAATATAAGAGTCAGCTGCAACAATTAATACAAGGAAAAATATATCCACACTATAAACAGAAACAGTTTTCCTGAATAGTCCTTGAAATATTTCGTGTTTATTTTGTATAAGTTTTAAGTTGACCGCTGGTAATTTATTTCCACTTATCTTCTTATTTAATGTACGAATAGATTCTTTCAATGAATAAATAATGAAAATAGGTTGAGAAGAAAAACTAAAATAGACTGCCTTTGAAACGTTGAATACACATAACCAGTTAATAATTAACGGTAGGAAAACCCCATTATCAAGTCCAAATATTCCAACTTGTGCTCCGGTCAAAATAAAATCCAAGCCTAGAACTGCAACGCAAGTTCTTAAAAAACTTTCAGATTCTAAAACATTTTCAGTGACTTTCGAGAACAAATGTTTAGTATTTTTCAAATTGTACACCTTATGTGCAAATATGAAAATTGAGCAACCAGAAGAAAAAAAGCAATTGTAAAGTTGTGGTTCGAATCCAGGAAAGTTGACGTAGCCAGCACAAAGAAACGGACTGACACACGCGTAGTAGTTGACCCAAACCATAACAAGTACGCATGGAATACCGGGTAAACAATACTTTAATCTCATAGAATTATTTTCTCTTTTTAAAACAAATGGGAAAGCACCGAAAATACAATTTACGTAGCTGAATAAAGAAAGTAACATGATGTAAATAAGTCCACTGTGAGAACTGTAACTGACACTGAGGTAAAAGGGAGTAAAGGGGGTAGCAGACAGAGAGCTAAAAGAAAGAGTGAATAATTAATCATGAGTTAACACTGTCGTTAGTGTCAATGACAGCAAATTCATCGGATAATCATAGCATGGGCTTAGCAGATTTTGAATGTTTAATTTGTAAAATTATAATATCTTCAATAATCAAATTTGTCTCTTTGGTCTTTATAATTGAATGTAAACCCTCGTCCATTCAGACCGTTTTCACTGGCAGATCTAAAAGTGTATCGATATTTTTTCTGAGTGAGTCCACTCTAAAAAACCAAAGCTATTTCAGTTAAACTTTTAGATAAAATAAAGTCTTGGCAATTTTATTTTGGAAGAATTTAGCAAATAAATGTCTCGACTCAATATTTTAGTATTCTGGAATAATATTTTTTATTTTTTACATAATAACTGACATATTTGGAGCATTAAGCTCAATACTCAATAGGAAAATATAATGTACTACAAACATTAGTTTTAAAACAAAATCAAACCAAAGTTTTACTAAAATAGCCAAAGCTGTTTCAGAGGAACTTCTAAATCAAATTTCATTCCTTTTTTTTAATCATAAAAAAGGAATCATGGTTAAAAGGCTTTTTATTGCTAAATTCTACATTCAGGCTTCCAAAACAACATTTAGCACTACCAGACTACCTATGCCACATTACATCTGTGGCTCTGTTCTTATTTAACATATATTTAAAAGCCAAGTCTCTTATGTTATCAGAACTAATTTAACCTAATAACATAAAAAGTAAAATTTAGACAACAATGTAACTTTTTAAGTTTATACTGCAATTATTTTTAAATAATAAGTTTGTTTGTAAAACTAGCATTTATAAGAAACCAGCAGAGTTGTCCTTCGTACAGGGTTGGCGTATAAGTATAAAATGCTTATTGCAGTTATACTTGTTCTTCGGGTTAGCAATGGGAGAGGACACGTTTTAAAAGTTTAGTTCTCACAGCTTTTTGTTGCTGCTTGTTTCAAATTAGCTTTTGTCGTAAATGCAAAAAGAATTGTTAGTGCTGCACCCTGTTGGTAAACCTTAACTTTTTAATGGCAAAGAACACTCATAAGGTTAACATGGGAAACTCTAGAGCCAACAAACTGGGGGAGTCGCCAACAGGATTTTTGAGAGAAGAACATGTCTATATTGTAATCAGGAATTTGAGCTATCATCATACTAAATTTCAACCCAATCCAACCAGTAGTTAATGCGTGATTGAACTTCAAACAAACAAACACACAAACTTTCATATTTATAGTATCTTACTAATATTATAAATCTGAAAGTTTGTGAGTTTGTGTGTATGTTTGTGTGTATGTTTGTGTGTATGTTTGTGTGTGTGTTGCTCAATCACGCATAAACTACTGGACGGATTGGGCTGAAATTTGGCATGATGATAACTCACATTCCCGATTAACATTAAAGCATATTCTTATCTCAAAAACCCTTTCGGGCTCCGCCCCAGAGGCTCTGTAGTTCCCCGTGTTAATCTTATGATTTTTCATATTTAAAAGTAATTAATGAATCTTAACAGCTGTTTCAATTAAACAAGTTGGTTCTGTTCTATGATGTTCAATAGCATAAAAGTTACAAGGATTACCAACAGGGTGCAGCACTATTATTTTTTTTTAAATTTATGACAACAGCTAATTTCCAACCAAAAGGTGAGTGAGCGTAGCGAACGAGCTAACCTGAAGGCAAGTGAGCGCAGCGAACGAGCTCCAACCTAAAGGTGAGTGAGAGTAGCGAACGAACTTCAACCAGGACGTGAATGAGCCATGCGAATACTTATGAAGTTAAACGGGGCGAAGCCCGCGGGTACAGCTAGTTAGTAATATAAGAATAGATAAGATATGGAATGGACTAATGGACTAATACACTCTAAAACTGAGGAAAATATTTATTAAATAATAAGTAACAACCTAACTCATCTCATAAAGTTTCCGAAGTTCATTAATGTCTTCTGACGAACATTCTGTTTTTCTAAGGCAATGGTCAAAGAGTTTAACTAAATCTGAAACAAAGCAACATTTTTAATTAATAGTAGCACAGTTAAGAATTGAATTCACTGAGGTTACATTTAAAGGAAAAACTATTTCATTACTATCATCACTTCAAATTTAATTGGATTAATGCCAAGTCAAGAGATAGTTTTCTATGGTGTTCTCTGTTCTCATTCAACTACGATAGACTTTATAGTGGACTTTGACCTCATTAGTTTGGTCAGGATTTAGGCTGCTAGAGTAAATATTTTTAATTTGTAGCAGAAAAAATGTAAATGGTAGTTAGGCTGCTAGAGTAAATATTTTTAATTTGTAGCAGAAAAAATGTAAATGGTAGTTAAAATGAAGAACATTTTGCTTCAATTTTTGGTGTAAAAGCAAGTGCTGACAGTTTTCTTTGTCAATAAGCTAACCTAAAAGTTGGCCAAACAGTAGGGCCTATAAATTCACCCCACTAATTCAAACTTATATTGTTGCATGAACTCTTATGTATAAGTGTTTCACAACTTTTGTTTGTGATAGGAACCTCAAATTGCACTCCAAAGTGTATTTCAACACTGGTAAAAACTAATTTATCGTGTACTAGAATCTCATTATAAAGCAATAGCTTGCCCTCTAGTATATGAAAGATACAGTACAGCTCGTGACACCTAAGCTGGCACTTGGCCTAGCGCGGGCAGTGTAGGCGGGAGGAGGGTGGAGGTAGGGAAAAGACCGGACTGCAAACATTTCCGCTGCCTCACGGGGTTGACTCCCCTTGTATTATGTACTTCAGCGCCTTCATATGGGTCGCGAGGACAGTTGATGCAACCCGCATGACGGGACATAATGTTTTTGAAATAGGTACTAGTAGCGATCGGCCAAGTGCCAGCTTAGATGTCACGAGCTGTAAAGCACAATTTCAAGTCTACCCTAAAATTAAATGAAAAAGTTCCGCCAACTTCAGCCACTATAAACGTTACCTAACTTACCAACATGAAACGCATTTAAACAGGCTTCGAATTTCATAACAATATGGGAAGTCTTCTTGCACTACTCAAAATAAATGAAAAAAGAGTAACTAAAATATTTCTCCAATTGGTTGACCTGAGTAAGAAATGACTTAAAACTTGTTATTACTTGTTCTTCTTTCATTCAATCTCAAAGACCAATAAATTCACAAGCCAAATACAGAGTTAAATACTCACTTGACTTATCACTTGTACTCATAAAGAGTGTCAGCGTAGAAAATCGTCTAACCCTTGTAAGGCCTTTAAGGTAACTCAGTACAACATCTTCCTTTGATATGAACTCTGACGACAATGTGTCTAGGATAGATGAGAACATTCCACTTTCTAAAGCATCCTTGAATATGTCCGATAGACTTTCGCCAGGTATTTGCTATCAAAATAAAGAAAAGAATTGTATAATCACAATATAACTTGAAATACCTAATCACTTTTTAGGGTTTAGTTTTTTTTTTACAATATTCTCTAACTACTAGTGCAGTCCTAAATGTACAGGGCTACTTTATGAAACATGCAGCTGACAATGCTACTGTGTAAACCGTCCCTTTGCTTAACACCAAGCAATTAGTGTAAAATCATTGACTTTTGGGTATTATTAGGGTGAATATCATCCATGAACCATCTGTAACAAACTACTCATTAAAATAGAACATAATAGAATAAACTCGACACAGAGACTGCTACTGTCACAATTTTTCAAACTGTATAAACAAAAAATAAAACAGGAATTAAAACAGAAACAACATAAAATTTACAATCTAATCGATCAGTAGTCGCCTCGTCGGTGAAGTAAACAGCCACTCTATATAGTCGGCCTATAAGATGACTCTGGGCCTCCTCATGATATAACAAAAATTCAACTTGCGAAGATTTTTTGGACCGTGGTTAGGGCCTAATTTGTAGCATGATTATCCCACTTGTGAATAATCAGGAGTCTCCTGTACTTTGAAAACTTATGTGACATAAAGGATGCTATATTTTACAGTAAATTGTCCTTTCAGTTTGGCATTCAGGTTGGCAGTTGCTGCAATTTCTAACAGTGGATCAATTAAGTTATTCCCATTCTAAAACCAACTACAAAGTCAATATAACAATGAAAAGTCTAATTTACTACCCAATACAATACTGACCTTGAGATACCTATAGCGTAGTTGTGGGTTCCCCTTGACACTGTTCCACGCGGTGTTGAACTGTACTGAAGTGGTGGGGGGAGGAGGAACGTCCACTGGGGTAGTAATAGTTAGGATACTCCTAGGCTTGACAGTAGCTGCAGACATAAAACCTGGCTCGGATAGTCTGCTCGATGCCGGAGGATGAGTTGGTGAAGGACTTATTGTCGGAAGATTGTTAGACTTTCGGAGTTTGGCAGCACAAATATGCTCAGGAGTGTTCGGCCCAACGTCGTATATCTCAATACGCTTCAGACATTTCTGTGGAACAATGTATTATTAAAAAGTTTTAAAAATCTATATTGCATAAGTATGATGGACTAGAGGGAAAGGGTTGTTGATATCATTGACAAATATTTGTCAAAAATGTAAGAAACCTTTCCTTTCAGAATTTCATTTTTGGCTGGTTGGTGTTTTACATTTTATTCTTAGAAAAATCCAAACATTTTCTGTGGGCTTACACGGTCCAACTTGTGTGTAAATGAACTGCGTATGTGATGGTTTTAATGAATATTAGAAAATAAACAAGTTTTCAAACCCTTGTATCCGTTTAAATACACCTACTGTTATTACATTGAATGCGTTCTTACTCAAGATCGATACACCGAATATTGACGTCGTAGCTTTCATTTACAGTATGTAATGCATGACGTTTTGCATACAGTTGGCAGGACGGAGAATTTTCTGCAGAAAATAAAGTTTAAGACTTTCTATAGAAATAAAAAAAAAACAATTTTATTAATTTGTTATCAAGTATTTGGTACACCCTTACAGTTCCACACACAGAACTTTGAGGCCTATTTGGATGGGTACCGGTACCGGTAAACATAATTTTAAAATAGGCCTTCAACATCTTAAAATTGAAAACATTTGGTAGTTAAGAAGAGGATAGTTTAAAACCAAAATCATAAAAAAATTTGGTAGTGGATACATAATTGAACTTCAGGCAATGATTGAACCTGGATGAAGCACAAGTTCAATATAGGTTGTCGCCTGAACGAACAGTTCCAGGGGAGAACCAACCCAGTATTGAACAACTCTTTTGTGAAGGAACTAAATTGTATTCATGTTGAAGCCTTCCGGAATTGGTAATCAATTATAACAGGAGGAACAGTGAGGAATTGTGGACGTCAAGGTACGTAACCTGTTATAACTAAATTGTGTTACAATTATTACATGATACAGGTTGAGCAGCAGACAAATGCTCACCAGTTATTTTGACAAAAAGACGTATTTTACAATGTAAACATATTAATAGTTTTATCAAATAAGTTTACCTTGGATCGTAGATGAGGTGGTTTCACAATCGGTTCAATAGTAGTGCTACAAGAAGGCCACTCGAACTCATCATTCCCTTCAGTACTAACTTCTTTAGCTTTTTCATTGTCTATAACTAGTGATGAAATGTTTTTCGGTTTCCCTTCAGTAGCTGCAGAATTTTCTGGGATGGACTCTACTTCACTCAGGGTTAGCCTATTGATGGGCTGTTTTGATTTGTTACTCTGAAATGAACGTACAATGCCATGAGACCTATGGTAAAATTTAAAATTACAATCACATCAATGTAGTCTGCTAATTCTCTCCTAAACTAATCACTTTGATAAGGCAGCATACTTTATATATATTTCAAACTGAACCTAAACTCGGGGTGGGAGTGGAATGGAGTGATACGGTCTGTAGATTTGTTATTGACTAAGATCAACACTTTTAGTAACCTGGACCATTTAAAAGCCTAGAAATCAAGGACAGCCAAGTCCAGTTTTGAACATCAAAAAGCTAAACCTTAGGATTGATCAAACAACCTACTGGTTATTAGACAATTACTAATACCACTCAGCTCAATGTTTATTGTACTTATTCTTATTCGTTTTTACTGCGTGCGACACAACCATGGACAACATTTGCTTTTGCATTAAAGTATGAACACTTCATAGGTAGGCCTATGGTGGTTGTTAAACTTTCTTAAGCCATTTTCAGTCATATTTTGAAATCTAAAAATTTTTAGGACTTCCAACAGTTGGCTAGAAAATAATAAAAGTATTTTTCTACTTGTCCTGTAGTCAAAGCATTTTATTAAAAATACAGTAGGGTCAGTTGTTTTGTAATAATTAGTTAAAAGATTGATTGGTTTTCTATTTCTTACATTACAATGAAGAAGCTTTTTAGGTTCCTGAGAGCAATACAATAAAAAACTTCTAATAAATGTATATTCATTTCTCCACCATCCATTGAAGCATTTTTTTTCACTCAATAAGGATACCGTACAAATGCTGTTCAGTACAGGCTTGTTTGCCTGTTTTTACCGGTAGTCCGCTGTGGTCGTAAATGCTAAACTTTCTATATTAACAATACTTTTGCTATCCATGCGACAAAGGCTATTTTCAAACCGCACTTAATAATCTGATACAGCTCCCAAATGTGCTGTATAAGGGAGTATTTATTTACTATTGATAATTTAATAAATCACTTTGACTGTTTACCCACCAAATTCTTTACTCTCTCTAAGTCCCGTAGTGCTTGGGTGTTGTTAGGTTCTAGCTTGAGCGCATTACGCAGGTCGTAACACGCATCCTCTATTCGGCCGAGAGCTTCTCTTGCAGCAGCACGTCGCAGCATCGCCTTCACGTAGGTCGGATCCAGCCTCAGCGAGGCTGTGCAGTCAGATTCAACCATCTCGAATCTAATGCAGAACAGAAGAGTAAAAACAATACAATGGGAAACTTTATTTACTTAACTAGCTGCTATACCCGTGCACCGCAAACGTGGAGAAAATTGGTTCTGTTTAGAAGAATGGGTGTTCTTTAACATAATAACATATCTTGATAGTTGAAAATATCACTCTCTGGGTTGATAACATAGCGGTTAACGGTTATAGATTCTTTTTTTTTATTTCCATAATCTACGACATAGTTAGAATAAATAATTAAAATGTTTTAGAATGAACAAAACTACCACATAGTTGTGTTTTTAAAAATAATATTTAATTTGCCGCGATCAGCTGTATGAAATTGTGAAATAACCATTTTGGCAGTTCTGCTTGTTTACATTGAAATTTCAACACAAAGGTAAACATTGTTCGAGTTTTCTCATGCTTCCATGGAGACCAATCAATATTTACTTTTGAAAACCTCACTCAAAACTTTAGACGTCCAAGGGGCATAGCCCGAGAGGAACTCAGAGAAGTAAATAGGCTTAAGACGTTCCTAGATACGTGGACCATCTTTGTGCTTAATTTTGGCTGTATCGGCATAGTATTTTAGTCGTAACAGCCGCACTGAAGGATAGACGCCACCTCAATTTTACAATAGCATAGATGAAATTTGTAAATGTTACTTAAGGAATTATTGCAGACAATCTCCATAAAAACAAATAAAATGAAAAAAATCTTACAAGAAAAACTGTTAGAACAATTTTGATTAAAATTTAGTATGTTATAGTCCTTTTAACTCTAAACAAAATGGTACAACCATTACTGTAGAAATGAGTGAAATGACTGTTCAAAAGTTATTGCAACTTTTGTGAATTTTTCCATAAAATATCATAGTTATTGCCCATGATAAGGGTTGTTGATAAGCTAATGGGAGTAAGTTTTAGATTGCTGATACCAAAGGCATAATACTAGTGATAATATGAAGAAATATTGAAAACTGGTTGTAAAAACCAAGCCGTCAACACCATAATACTTACTTTTTCTTTTTCAAGTAGCACAGAGCTCGGTTGGCGAAAAAGACTGGATCTTTAGAGTAAGCTTCAATGGCTCTTGTGTAGCAACCGATGGCATCATCCCACTTGCTGTTTTTGACATGTTTATTCCCCTGGAGCAAAGCACACCCTTGTTTATAGTCTTAAACTCAATATTAACTAGTGAAATAAACCAAGGAAAATGTTAAGACTTCTTAACACCAATAAATCAGATGAGGGAGAAATGGGTGAACCTTGTGTGTTGAGGTAAGCCGAAGCATTCTAGACATCTTGAAACATCAATCCAGCCATAAACTTAAACACATGTGCGCCGCATTGTCAATAGCTGCATAACTAAAATAACCACACAATAATGTCTAACCCTGTTTAATACGTACGGATTTTGATGTTAAATGTGGTATTTTTGTTAAGACTAATAGTCCATTCACAAAATTTAGGCGGTTTTAGGGGAAGAAATCTATCCCTTCCACTTGATCCAAACTTTTAAAACATTTAGCTCAACAGCTGAGGTATGCCTCAACATCAATCAGGTGCAACATATACATAAAGAAGTAGTAGGGAACTTCCCCTCAAAATGCCTACATTTTTTGAACCGACTATAGTTAAAGTTCAATGATTTTGCACACATCTCACATGGTTGAAAACTTGGCCGGTTTTGACTGTAATGGTTTGTACAAGAGTGTGTTCCAAAGAAGAAGGAGTCTAAGCTTACCTAGGTTATCTATATCTAATAGGTTATCTTTAAGTAGCAAACATAATTAATAAAAAATATCTTACTATAAAAACCGTGTCCCTAGGCCTAATCGATGAAGTTTTAAAGCTCCCGTGAGACCAAAAAATTAAATATTTTAACTTTTAACTTAACCTTAGTGAATCTTGTATTTAAATAATATTTTACTATAAGTAGCCTACACTAACAACAATATGTACGCTAAGTTAAAACATGGATTCATCAAATGTATGCAGCTTACCAACTCTTTTTCATATAACGCTTTTTCTTTCAAGTACTTTTCTTGCTGTTCCGCTGTCTCTTGACAAGAATCCTCTTTAATTATTTTGTCCTCATCATCTATTTCTTCACAGGCTTTGTCCTAGATTTAGTAACAACAAATTGAAGGAGATATATTAACTTAGACTAGACTAAAAAAAACCTGAATCCAACTAAACTTATTAAAAGTTCAAATGAGAGACCTTGAAAAAAAAATAAAGGAAAGATAAACATGTACGATAACTTAAATGGTGACAAAGACGAACAAACGATTGATAGCCTAAATAGCCATTTAAATACTGCCCGGGCCTTGTAGGCCTACCTATCATGCTATTCTTTGTAATTTGTAGGCTTTATACCGGTATAGCTTATTGGCTTCAGCTGTTGGCAAGGAATAAAGAATAAAGATTAGGTAGTCAAGTAGGCTTATTCGTTAGAAGAAGGCTTTTTAGCCTAAAATTTGAGATTTCCCAAACCATACACGAGGTTTAAACTTTAAAATAAACCAAAATTACAATAGGCCTAATCAACCTCTAAAAATATGAGTTTGCTAATACAGTACCTTACTAAAAACACAAAACAGGATATTGAGAGCACATTTTAAACATGGACAAAGAACAGTACTTGTTGTATGGGTCATCCCTGATGATTCATATAACTTAGGCCTTAGTAGGACAGGCCTTGCAATCGACTAGGCCTATATATAGTCAGAAGATGAAAATGTATCAAATCGGATACAAACTTTAGGCTTAGGCCTACTAGTAAGTTAGGCTAACATTCAAAGTGAAAAACGGCACATTTGCGATTTGATAGCATTCAGGCAAACAGCAAAGATTATATTAAATTAATTAACTCCAATAATTTGGCTAACTGCAAGATTGTTTATATCTTTCACAACATAAATGTATTACGGTAATATAAAAATGGTATGAAAAAGCAAAGTTTTTTAAACAACTTTGAATTCACTTACTACATCAAACTTCTCCCATGAACTGTAATCATAGGACTTCAACTTCTTCTTGACAACTTCTTTCTTGTCCTCTTTTTTTTCAGAGGAACTTTTAGTGAGTTTAGCTCGGCGTACAGGTGGTAGTGCCTAAAATTAAAATTAAGCCTAAATTAACATTCTGAAAGCACCTTAATGCCAAGAATATGTTACTTACTTGTATATGATTTATGTTATATTTAATCCCGCAGTGGTTGCACTGAACTAAAAACGTGAAGAGAGCATACTTGGTATTTATGACCGGGTTAAAATAAAAGGGTTAATTCAGTATGTTTAAGCATTAGATTCCTCAAAATCGTAAAATAAGTTAAGTTACGAGCAAAATAATAGGTGATTTACAACTTTTTGAATAGGCCTACCTATGCTTTATGAAAATAAAACATAAAATGGACAATTGAAATAAAATTATTAGCAAAAGGTTAAGTTATTACATTGTCTATTTTGTGTTAGCCTGAACTTAGTCACACTGCCAGTTGAAGGGATAATGATTTTCTCATGTAAGTTTAACTTAAGCCCTATATTAACTTATAAGTTAGGGTAGATTTTACAAATCGCGCTCTTTGAGTAAATTAAGGGTAGAGTTTCTTAACTGGGCTAGGCTACCTATGCTAATACCGATTGAAAATATCGATTCGATTAGTGAACCTTCATTCGATTTTTTCATTACCGGTAAGTTATCAGCAAGTTTGGTTAGGTTATGATTGTTTCATTTTATAATTGGGGTATGCTTCCATATCTGTTGGTGCAAACAACTGAATGAAAATATCGATATAGCCTAGGTTCCTAACCTACAGTAACTAACCAACAATATATCAAATTAAACTATCGAATAATCAATATTAAGTACTCATTCTGTTGTTTGTGCCAACAGATATGGAAGTGTACCCAGATGTCATGCCTAGAGAAGATCTTTAGTAGGTTGCTAGTAGAGATGGGCGTTATTTAACATAACAGGATGAATAAAAGTGTTGCGGCCACGGCAACGTTATCGCGGCAACACGTTGCCGAGAACTCCCTGTTATTATAATAACGTATCTATCTACACAATGTTGCAGGAAAGCCGCGCGACAACGAAAACGAAAAAATGCATTGCCTTTAGTGCCGTTGCCGCAACGCTACCAGAGCAACGATAACTTCTGAAACGAACTAGAATTAGAGTAACACATCCTGTCTGGACAACGCAGCAACGCCCGACTCGCGACTACAACTGAAAACTGAACTGATCAACTGACAACGATAACTGAGTGCCGCAACACCGACCGGCGGACAACGGTTTACAGCGGCAACGAGTTGGCAATCGTTATTGAAATAACAGGTTGCCGCAACACGTTATTGGGCAGCTGCGTTATTGTTATAACCGTTGCCGGAAAACAACGATAATTCCCATCTCTAGTTGCTAGAACTCATTAGGCCTAACCTAGTCTTGCAGTGAGCTAGGCTACCACTGACAGTGCAACAAATTCGGAATAGGCCTATGTTAAATGTATACTTTTTCTCACAAGATAAATGTTGTTGAATAAATATTCGGCATAGGTATTGTCACACTACATTACACCTATTTCATAATGACTATGTATCCCTAACCTAGGGATACATCCTTAACATTAGGCCTAGTTAGGTCCTGTAAATTAACTTACCTCATCTGTGGGTTGATTTGAAAGCTGTCTGTCTTTCCTCTTCATTTCTTCTTCCCAAAGTTTTAAGTCTCTGACATAGCTATGCAAATCTTCAGCGTTGTCTTTTATCTGTTTTTGAATTAATACAGATTTGTCCATGTTGTGAGTGTATAAAGCTAGAACTAGTAATCGTGGCTAGAACATTATCGACATAACACTACACATTTAAAACATAGAACACACCGACCACAACACAAACAGAAACAACACATAACAGCGAACAGCGAACAGCAACAACACAACACAACCCTAGAAAGAATAAAACCAACAATCAACAAACCAAAGTGAAGACAGCAGGAGCAGACGAAATTGCGGTTGTTTTTCTAAACGCAGTACATAATACGATAATGCACAAAAAGATTCAAAGCAATGATTATAAAATGTTTTATCATCATTATTATAACTATGATTATAACTGTTATTATTTTCCGTGTAGTTTACGGGTTAGGATATGATCGCAGCCTCCCCGGGCTTGATGTAAGAGGCAAGTGGATAGAGAATGGGTGGCTCTTTATGTACCGGACCCAACTTTCACGGAGATCAAGTGTATTTAGTTTGGCTTGGTCCTCGAAATCTTACGTCTTTCCTATTATTCTATTGTTCTTTCTTCAACCCCTCTCAAGGGTTTTAACTTCTTCTTTTTCGACGAGCACTCAATGTTATGAGTTCATATTATTTCAACTATTTTGTTTTTATAGTTGGTAGTCTTGAGTAGCGGGGATGTCTCTCTGCGTAGAGATCATCGTCCTTCTTCTTAAAATTGTACTCCAACGTGTAACACCTAAAATTGTAGACCATGTTTAACTCAAGATGTATTAAAAAGTTTTTACATTGACTTGGTGTTTTATTAATCATTTATTTAGTTAAAAATAATAAAATAGGAGTACATCACTCAATCCTGAGCCTTGGGATGCCCCCCGTACAGAAGGGCAAATTTTGTGCTTCGCACTGTCGAGGGGACTCTTTTGTGCGTGGTCAGCGACCAGCCCCTTAGGACCTTTGCCAGGGAGTGCAGCAGGGCCAGGGGTGCAGAGGTTGGGCTCTGCACTGCCAAGGGCAACACCCGGTACGTCAGGATTTCCGGTAATAGGTAAACGTAGGCCGTGCCCCGGGAAACTCGGGTAAGGTTACTAGGTGGCGTTTGCATAGATGCATACAAAAAATTGAGCGGAGTCATCAAGGGTTCACAGTATATTGTTTTTGTCATACTGCAGTAAAAACAGTCGTGTTTAATGCATGCGTTGCGGGTCTAAAGTAGCATTTTTACTCTTTAGGGAGTAAAAATCAATTAGCCTCTATGGAGTAAAAATCAGCTGTTCTCAACTCAGTTGTAAATTTCTATTGTAAACGATTGCATGTATCGAAATATGTTTCGATTCGTGCTTCGTAATCATTTAAACCTACAATCTATACAGTCTCTTCCCATAGCGTTTTAGCATTGCAGATACATTAATCCATTCCCACACTCAACACTGCTCACCTTTACTACTTCCTTCACCACCCCCTACGTCGTGGACCTGTTTCCCTCTCTTCCCATAGCATTTTAGGATTGCAGATACATATTAATGTAATTGCCAAAGACAGTTAATTTGAATATATAATTTGAATATATAATACAGTGTGGTAATTACCACACTCTGCACTGCAAGCCTTAATACTTCCTTCACCATTTCTTACGTCATAGACCTGTTTCCTTCCTTTCTCATGGCATTTAAGTATTAGATACATTTATCTAACAGCCCAAACGGTCCCCCCACTCTGCACTGCCAGTCTTTACTATTTCCTTCATCACTTCCTACGTCGTGGGGCCTGTTTCCTTCCCTTCTCATAGCGTTTTAGGATTAAAGATACATTAATCTAACTGCCACAGACGGTTCTCACACTACGCTCAAACTTTACTTTACTTCCGAAGCCACTTCCTACATCGTGGACCTGAACTTAAATTGGTGCCATTTTGTCACAAATACTTATAGTTTAACACATAAAATTGTTTATAGTTTAACACATAAAATTGTTTAACACTAACTTCGTTCCACCCTGTATATCACTCTAACCAACTTTACAAGTTTTTAAGTAACATAGAGACATTTGTTATATCAATGGTAGAATATAAAGATAGACAAAATTAACGATTAATCATCAACTAATGGTTCATAATTCGGAGTTGAAGAGGCATAAACGTGCCACAACAATGGTTAGAAACAGCTGATTTGGACCCTTGGAAATACCAACTGTCGTGCTTTATCTTACAACAGCGTAAGTTTTCCTTTTGTTCAACATTAATGTAAACTATGACTGTTAGTAAAAAAAAATGCTTAACGTAAATTTATTTGATACAGTATTTATAATGTATAGCGTGTCAATTTCACGCACTTTGAAGACTTGAATTTGTCATTGCGACGAAATGATTTACTTTCAAATATAGCTATATTATTGTATATACATGGTGGCTGAAAAGTAACTCCCAACCCCTTAACTTTTTAACTATTTGAATGATATAAAATCAGTTAGTGCCAATTAACCTTCTTAGATATAAAGAGCTACTGATGGTTGATTTTGAAAATCTTGCTCTTAGAGTGGTGGTAGAGGGTAGCTCAAAATGTTCAAATAGGAAAGTATAATTGACAAGCAGGTATATCATTTTACAGGTCCAGACGAAACTAAACAATTGATATAAAGAAAAATACCCCGCCACAGTTAACCTACAGACTCAGCGAATTTCTATTTGCCTGAATTAATACTATTAAATCTATTTAAATAATATAAGGTTAATTTAGGTTGTGTTAGGTTAAATAAGTACCTATGTTCGCTGCTACAGGGAGGCTAATGATGAGTGTTTTTTAGTAAAATATTAATAGCTTAGTATTAAATAAGTAAATTTGCCAAGTTTGATAAAATATATCAATTAACAAACAAACTGCAACATTTTACAATATTCTCAATAAGAATAACATGGGAATTGTTAATTTATATTTGTTTGAATTTTCTCCGTAAACAATAACAGCACAAACAAACTTCAATATAGGCTACTAAATTATTTGTCTTTTAAGCTCCTTAAAATGGTTTAGAGAGAAATTGGGAAATTTGGTGTTTTGATGGTCAAAATGAGAAAACCCATCCCCCCCCCATAAAACCCCATTCCCATCATCCGATCATGCTGGTTCATGAACTCATTCAAGTTTATCCCGCCTTACGCCTTCAAACCAAATTACACCAAAATCGAAGAAAAATTACTCAAGATATCGTGTTCACGGACACATATAAAGGGTGATTGGTACTTAGTGTGACAACATTTTTTTTTTTTTTTTTTTTACTAAACTACTATTACAAAACATATAGTCAACTTTCCAGTGTGAGTATTAGTTTTTATGACAAAATTCAGGTAACTAATTCACCGCAATCGTAGAGTTGGAAGAGTCGTGACTCAACAATAGAAGGAAACAGCTGATTTGCGAGTCTGAAATAGCGGCTGTCTGCTCTATCTTGGATTCAGACAAGTCCTTTTTGTTAAGCTCGCTTATTGCAATGCAGTTGTACATCAACTGTGATTATTTGTATAAAAGCTATCGATTACAGACAGTTTAAACCTTAACACCGGTTACAAGCATAAACAATGGGTTAAAAATTAACAATTAGAGACTCGTACGATGAAGTACTGCATTAGTCATAAAAGGTTTTCTTTAGCTGCTATGCTGTAATCTATTATGTCTCATAATAAAATACTGTATTTTAGAAAGATTATTAATTGTTTTCATATTTGTTTGCTCCGCTCAGTTGGTGGATGGAAGACCGCATACCTAGTTGTAAATATATCTGTACACCGACTTAAATTATTTGAGTAAAATCTATTGTACCGGTCACGAGTTAAAGTCTAAGGGTCTTCAGGAGATATCGCTACCACCACTACTCTAATTAAGGGGGAGTAGGTCCTAATGAGAATGGGAAGATATAAAATAATAATTTTGATCCTGAACACTTGAGTTTGAGGTTTATTTGGACTATTAAATGCGAATGTGTGTGTGTACATTAATTTTGAGTAAGGACAATGATGCAGACAGTACGATGGGTAGCGCGATTAATACCTAGATGACAATGCCCGTGTTCACCCTCCCTATTCCAATACGGGATCAAGTAACTTCAATGCGTCTCTTTGTTCTTACACTTGCATTGAAATCTCGTGATTCGCCGTTAGGTAAGCCTATTTGGCCGAAAAGAACTAAGGAAACTGTTACAACTTAACTTAAAGTATAAAAAGACAAAAAAGAAAAAAAAACTAAATATTACACTTAATTTATCACCCAAACACAATTAAAGAAATCTTAAATTATGTAAATAACCTTAGTTAAATCACAGTGCTAGTATTTCATAACAATGAACGTAAAATATACATAATGTAAAGTAGGCAATTAGTTTTTTAAGGAAAAACAACAATTAGACAATTAAATAGGGTCAAACTCCACCATTATAACCTTAATTCCTTTATGCAGGTTAAGTCATGTTAGGTTCAGTTGTGATAGTAATTTTATTTGTTATGTATTTCCATGAGTAATATTTGTTCACATAATGCATTGCATTTAAAGGACATTATAGCAACAAGTTATTATCAAAAGTTAAACCCCTACAGGCAGAGCGATAGCTTACTAAAACATGGATTTTTATTAGATAATTTTATAATTAAAAGAAGATTGAAATTAAACTTTGTAAGATGAATTTACATGTTCTAAAATACGTCAGAACACTTGTAGAAAATGTAACAATTACTATTTCTGTAGTTATAATGACTTTTAGTGAAGATATTACATTCATTACTAACACATTTACATAATATTGTTGGTGTGAACACTTAAATCAACGTTCTTTAGGCTGTACGCTGTATTAAAGCATAGTTTTGTGTTTTGTGCATAAGCTCAAAGCATGTGCCTTAACCATTTTATTATTCTTTGACATTAAACTGCTTATGTTAAAGAGCTCTGCTAAGTAAGCAAAATTTTTTTTATGACATACTTCTACGAAGTAAAGCGATTTGTCTTATTATAACCAAGTATGTTTATTATCAAGCTAAGTTCTTGGATGCTAACTGAATTATCGCCCATTAGAGATAATGCATGGCTGCTTATAACAGAATAATATACTGTGTTTACCACTTTGAATGAGTAGTAGTAGTTTTAACCATTGGAGTGGAAAGGAAGATGTACTAATCGTAGGAAATGGATTTACCTATATCCGAGTACTGTGGTCTAAATCTTGGAAACAGATTTAAATTCATTATCAAAATTTTGGATCGGTTTATTAGGATTCTGTTACCACGTGAGTGAATTATACGTTATTTTACGATTCGAAAATCAATAAATTTTAATCAATTTGCTTTGCGTTGGTCGCAAAATAGTTTAAGAGGGTTCCACCCGCCGACTGTTTGTCCTACAAAAAAAGAACCACGTGGCATTATTAAATTGTTTATCGAGTTGAAATTAACTGTAAAATATTCACAAAAATTCGGACGCCACTATATGTGCGTGTTTTAACCCAAATTTGAGTGAAGGATGAGTGGCACGATCTTGTAGTCTTGTTAGTTACTAAGGCCGAAATATTCCTTAGACACAGCTGTTAATTAATAGCCAATACCATACTGTTACCATACAGCCAATGGTAACTAAGGGACCTACAGTTGTTTATAGTGGAATCCGAATCAAATTTTTTCCTTGTAATTAACGAATCAGTCTAATCATCAGGATAGTACCGCTTATAAATTAGTAATAATTTCTTTAAGTATTTACAAAAAATTCAAATTAAAACATATTGAATCAAGATATTACATGCAATGACCTCGCAAGCTTACAAAACTTGTCGGCAAGGACTAATAAATAAATAATTACAAACAAAGTTTACAGTATTTTTTCTTTAGTTTTTCGACGTACAAAAAATGTACGATACTAGTTCTAATGTGGTTTGCGGCAGGCATTTATTTTATAATTGAAAGTAATTTTTAAAATCTGTAAATTAGTCTTTTTCACATGAGTTTTTAACTTCTAAACTATAGGTAAAAATTATTTTTTCCAATCCATTGCAAGCTCAGCAAATTGTTTAGAGCACAAAAAACACACAATCATTGGAAACAAATTATTATTAGAATGTTGGGAGCTTGTACACTAGATGCATGTTCAATCTGTTATTAGTAGGAAACTTTAAGACTTGCAATTAAAGGTTTTAATTTTATCAGAGAGGGGACTAAAAACTAACAACTATTTATAACATTGGAACAATCACAATTAATATTATTTAACATATGAAATAATACCTATGTTCCAAATTCAAATACATTTGAACAATATTTCCATGGACATTAGAATTGATTTTCCACACAATCATGTACTATATTAAAATACAATCCGCCATCTTAAATTGAAATTCAGGCTGCCGGGTAGAACCCTCTTGATGTGTTAGATCTAGAGGCGTGAAAAATAAATACAAATTCCGTGCAAAGTGTCAAAGAAAATATGAATACCTGAAAAACTGTAATTTTGCAGATTATTCGAGATTTAAGCAGTGTCAGCGAATCGCCGTGAAGCGTTTTCAGAGTGCCAACTTGAATTTAAATTTCAGATGAGTTCTACTTGGAATAAGTCTTGCTTTTACTGAACTGCAGTATTTTCCCCGTCTATACGTTTTGTATACACTCTCAAATATTCTTGATCAAAATGCCAGCTCTGAATGAATATTATGAATCAGTACGCTTTTTAAGCCAGCGTAATATAGCTGATAGAAAGTGAAAGTGCCTGTTTCAATCTGGACAGTTGTTCCTGATTTAAAATGATTCTGGCTAATGAAACAGCTGATCTTATTCAGTAACAAAGCTACACAGATCATCTTACACCATTCTACACCCATCTTTCACTCATATTTGGGTAAAAAATACGCACCTAGGTGGCGTCTCCATCTCAACGATTGATAATTGGTATCATAACTCTTGGAATGAAATATAAATAAAGTAAAATTGACGACCCATAAAAATTAACTATAAGAGAATTACTATCATAAAACGTTTTACTACTACGACTCTACCAAAAGATATTACATATTACTTCAAAGAAATTTTATATATTTATTTAGATTCACATTTATTATTACATTAATTACATTTATTATTAATTATTATTTCATTTATTAAGATTTATTCATTATAAATTAAGGGACACGAAACACATAGACTTTCGGATTAAAAGATTATAATCTATATATTTTCATTCCGTAGGATGTTTCTACAAGATTAACGGTGTTGGCAAATGAATGGTGATGAATATGTTTACTGATTCAGTTGGTAACGTTTTCGATCACTAAGGTCCATAGATCAATCACACACATTGTTTATAATTTCGTCATATATTCCATCATCTCACACCATTCTACAGTCGCTTTGCATTCATATTCAGTAAATGTACCCTAAATGCGTCGCTGTCTCAAATATTCAAAATATTGACAACTGAAATCGTATTGACAATTAAATTTCTTTCACTAGACCTACTAATACTTGATAAACAATTCATTTCTAAAGGCTGCTTTGATCGTCTGTAACCGACAAAATGTTAGCTTTGGGTTAGTGGATAAAGCTTAAATACTATAAACAAATTTTTATTTACGTAGGAAAATTTAATAATGCATTAGCCCAGGCGGCAACAGTGGGGACTTACGGTCCGGAACTTCCCTCCTCACTTTGAGCGAGATGAACGTGTGAGGCAAGTGAACTGTCCTCCACTCATCCTCACTATACAAGTATCGCCTCCACTGCTGTATCTGCTGGGTGGGACAGGCCCCTCTGTAGAGAAGAGCTGTTACCTAGCTTTGTATGACATGCAGTTGTTGTGTAATGATCTAAAATATTGTGGTGTATAGTCTCATGTATTATGATGTATTTAAAGCTAATACAAATTAGATAAACAGAACTCTTAATGTTGTTGAACATTTTTAATGGCGATGCATTTTAGTTTGATAAAACATCGCTGTGCATTTAAATATTGAAGGTTGCAAAAATATTTAAAATATTTTTAAATGGAATAAAAATGTAAACTTGCATAACCTAAGGTAACAAATATTTTTTGGAAGCTATAAAGTAATGGAGTAAACTAAAATTAGAAACGTATTCCAGATTCCCTTTGGGCAAAATTGATCAGTGAGTGAAAACAAATTGGCTGTAGCTGTTGTCATGTCACTACTTTGTGCTGTGAGTGTGTGTGTTGGTGCGCGCGCGTGTGGGTGGTTTGGAGGTAACACGGGAACACGGCACAGCGCTCAGTACAGTGCGGGCGTTCCAACAGTGTCCATGTGTTTTCGCCATGATGGCGCCACCACCTGTTGACGGGATCCCCGACTTCCCAGACACCTTCCAGGACTTCTTCACCAAGCTGGACGAGGGAGATGAAACAATTTCATCCCTCCTCGAGGACAAATTGATTCCTCGAGGAGCGAAGCGGCAACAGGAACGGAGATGGGTTATCACTAGGAGATCTTTTCATAGGAAACCTGTGGAGTACATGAGTCGGCCTGATCCTCCGGATCTGTCTCCCTCGCCGACCCATACTCGGAGAAGGTCGTCGTCTATAGCAGTGACTCGCCAGACCCCGGACTTACACAGGTTCCTGCAGGCGGAACAGAATCGACCCTGGGGACACTTGAGTCCGAGCCCCGCGGCTTGCAGTCCTACTCCTAGCCCGGCGACTTCCAGACCAGTCAGTCCGAGGCCGAGGACCAATAATTCTTATAGGTGTAGAACAGCTTCCATGCCTGCTGTACCGGCTCGGCATAAGGTAAGATCGTGAGAAAGTATTTTTTTGTAATTGTCTACTACTGTGGTTTGATTTTAAGTGGTCTAACAACCACTTTTAAATGTTGTGGGGTTCTTACGACAATCGTCCAAGCTGGACGTTAATAATACACAATTTCATACTTGAATTCCGTTTAGGGTGAAGTGGGTATCGTGGATCTTTACCATCCACACCCGGCTTATGTTTTGGTATAAGCGTTTTTTGGGGAGGTTTTTAGTCTTCGCGCTCGGCTTTTCCTCCCAACAATTAGACAGATTCCCCCATCCTATCAGAATCCCCTAAGACCTTCTAGTCTGGGGTCCTATACAGTTTGTATGACGGATATTCAGAAATGATCAAATCCTTTGAGCACCCCTCCTCCATCTCGGAAACACGATGCTCTTCTTCACTATAGTCCTCGCCACCCTAAGTTGAGGCAGCCCAAGGCCGCACGGCGTATATCTAGTGAGGCCTTTGGCTGCCTCAACTTAGGGTGGCGAGGACTATAGCTCTTCTCTTTATCTCGCTGAGTTCGGTTTGCAGTCCGTCCCGACCGCTTTTCCAACACCCTGCGTGGCGTGTCTTTGGTTCGTTAGGGTAAAGCGTTCTCGATTTCCACGTGTCCCTTTTTAATAAGAGTAAGAACTTTGTTATGGCCTCGTATGTAAAAATAACATAGGAATTTAAAATTTAAAATTTTTTGGGATTTTCTCCGTAACCATTAGGCGCATAATAACGCTTCAAAATACTACCTTGTTATCGCTATTTGTCGCTTGTTGTCGCTATTTGTTTTTGTAAGTTCTACAAAATGGTTTGGGAAGAAATTGCGACATTTTGTGTTTTTAGGATCAAAAAGGGAAAAACCTATTTTTACACCATAAAATCCCCCATAAACCTCCGTTTCCATTGTCCGATCTTGCTGGTTCGCGAACTCCCTCGAAAAAATTCAATTTTACACGTTTTTACCAAATTTCATCAAAATTGGATCATTTTCGCTTGGGTTATCGTGTTAACGGACATTTATATACAGTGTGTAAATTAAGTAACGAAACAAATCTGTATTTTAAACTGAAATATATAGAAATATTCTGTTTGTGGCATTGATTTTTAACAAAGGTTCCGCATTTTTTACATACAAAATTGTATGTACATCGTGAGTATTTCCAAAATCTTTAAGTCGACTTTTTTAAAGTGTTCTGAGATTATGAATTTTTAAAATAACGCCTGTTATATTTTGCAATTGCCCGAATTCAAGCAACAGGTACACCAGTTTTTATTAATTTCTGTTTAAAAATACAGATTTGTTTCCATATTTGTGAAATTGTTTTAATAGGGCCAAATCAAATTTTGGAATAGGTACCCGTCATTTTGGCTAGGGGTTAGATATTCACCTCGGGTTTGCGTCATTGCGTTTCTTTTGATAAACCCTTTAAAATGAGGGGTCACATAATAGGGGTTGCTATTCGGAAAAAAGTCATTCCCTATGTCATATTTTTGTATTGGTTTGACCATTGGTATGAATAAATAAATAAATAAATGAGTATTACGGTAATAGCTTCCCTATATGGTAAATTCGCTAAAACAGTTTAAATTCAAAATTTTTGGATACATGGTATTTAGAACGATAAATATACACAGCTAAATGGAATGGAAATACAATTTTAATTTAAATTTCAAAGTTTTATCTATAAAGAGATTGTTGTATTTTCATTGGTCATTTAGTTTATTTTGTCCAATAAATAATTTTAACTAAGTGTCAGTATGTAAGAGATAGGCGTGTGTGTGGGTGAATTTTAATCACTAGCTGACATTCTAATTGATTCGTCACTGCTTTGTCATTTCCATGAATTCCCTCGCCTAATTTGAAATTCTTATTAGGCCGATCTGCTTGTCAAACGTTGTATTAAATGTTTTGATGAAATACTTGCATTTATTTAATAGTTTTCAGATTGAAGTCATACTGGAACCTGTTTCTTGACCCTCTACGGGGATGGCCCTGGCCTTTAGCCATTGGCAAGTCCCCAGGAACTTAGGGTTAAGAGACAGGTATTATCAAACAGCGTATAGAAATGGATTTTGTCCGTATTAAATGCACTATATTATACTAACAGTGTTAAATCTCCATCCCTATTTCCGGAGAGTCTTTAAAAGAGTGAGAAATACTAATCGGTTAATAAGTCCTGCCAATTATTAGACAAGCACTATAATAAGTCGGCTATTGATCTTAGGTGCGTGACATATGTATGTAGGAAACTAAAGGTATGTATGTATAGATGATAAGTGGGATCCATACCGTACACGATGTGTACCATTGTTTAGAGAAGCTGGTATGTTAACAATGCTTTTGGCTAAACTGGGTGTACAGTGGAGTGGAATCCTTACGCAGTTGGAATATTCAATCATTTTCCCATGCTTGTGGCTTCCTGAAGTTAGTTTTTTAAGATTTTGTTTATGAAAATTACATTTATTTTTGTTCATTTCCAGATGAATTTTTACAAAAATATGCGAAACGTTTATGATCGTTCAGTCTATTGACAATCATGTGTAGCTGTTTATATACAGTATCATAGCTAAACATAGAGCTTGCAAACATAAAAAAATCTATTATAATATCATTCAGTACTTATGTTTATTACATTTGAGCGTTATCACAGCTACAGTGTGTTACGTAGAGATATAAAGTCAATGGTAATATGCTTGATACCTACCAATGCTTAGTGCCGTCACTAATGTTTTCGTGATTTATGGCATCAACTTGTTTACCAATATGATTGATATTTCAATTGAACCGTTTGCTGGTCTCAACATTGTTAGTAATTTGTTTACACTGCCATCATAGCCAAACAGTATGTTTTAGCTTTGCAGTACGACCAGTCATGGTGTTTACAAACATTGTTTATGTTTACTTGGAATTGTTTAGTGCTATTAATATCAGCTTTTACTGACCGTCTAATCATTCTTAAGTGATATATTCTTTTGATTGTATTAGTTGTTGCGTTTGAATGACTTGAATACTGGGGGAATGAGTTTAAATCATGCCTTTACCAATGGAAATAATCTGTGAGATATTGTCTACACCATGTGGTTCGGAGCCCATAACCTTAAGTTGAGTTTGAAAACAAATTACATATATCTTATGCAATCAGAATTAATTGTCGTTTATTGGAGATTTCCCTATATTACAATAGTATTTCATCTTGCTGTAATTTTATTCTAAACCACGAAGTTTTTATTACAGTATATCGTTTGATTCGGTTCATTAGCGTTTAGTATGTAAATAGGATGTTTATAACAAAACTAACACCACTAGTTTTAATCTATTGTTTGACATTGTCTTCCATTTAATAATGTATGCAGTTGACTACAAATTAAAATGTTGTGTTTGTTAAAAAAAATATTGCCGGAGTTATTTTAGAATATTGATGTACAACACATTATAAAATAAATTGCATTTAGTTATATATTTACCAAGACCTGTTCACAATGATTTGGTGTGTATTAAACACGCCTTTACATAAACAAACACCTTTTTCATAAATCGTCTGTTCTTACATATTTAGTGGCGGCTTCACCAAAAACTTTTAAATCTTTTGTCCTATGAAATTTTGTTTTTTGTTTGCCAACCTAAAACTGTAAAACTTTTCCACGTCGTGTTTAGTTACGTACTCTCTAGCCTTTTCGAATACATCTTTGGATGTGTGTTAAAATCAACTGGTTTTACTTATTTAGTGATCCCTCACACCAATACATTTTCACTTAATCATTTGATCACACTACTCCTTTACATAATCTCTATCTCCCAGATCTATATATCTCTTTTACCGATGAGAAATTATGCGTTTCGAGCTTGATATTTTTAATCGATAAGTTTCCCATTCAACATCATAAAACATGCGGCCTTTCAATAATCAACGTCATCATATTCTCTTTGTGTGGTTGGCACAACCGCTTCCATCAATATCAGCTGATATCATATCGTGTGGCGTGTCAGACTGAAATAAGTGATATGATAATGACAATGTTCTCCTTATCAGATTCTAACCACCTGTCGAGCCGGGTGTATCAGATTTAACGTTAATCTGTTTTTAATTATTTATACAACCTAGTATCTGTCGTAAACGTTATTGTTGAGTTTAAATGTAGGCTTGAGTTTCATTAGGATTGTACGTCCATCCATTCTATGTCATTTTATTACAAGGGTATTTAATGTAAATCGAAATGTGTCCAGGAAAGCGTTTACACACAGAGACCTGCATTATGGTTCAAACCATACATTGGTTTGTTTACTGACTTTTGGTTTGATTGCAGAATACTACAATAAAGCCTGAACAGAATATTGATAGTTTACGCAATACTAATACTATGTTTAAAGCATTGTCATTGCTTTGAAATGAGGTATGACCACAGTATGGTCCTTTGAATATTATTTTCAACCTGTTATATAATCGCAATAGATTATAGAACTTTTGCAGTTTCTACAATAAATGGCCTCTCGATAAGTTAAACAAACGTACTTGTCTTATAGAACTTCGTTAGCTTTAGTGAACTGTTTGTTTGTGTAAATCTTCAATTATGATGTAAACATAGCAAACAAGCATTGCAGCTTTGTTCATTTTGTTGCCATGGTGACTAATCAATTAACCCCTAAGCAACCACCTGAAAAGGCCAAAGGCACAATAGTAATCCTGGGTGTGTTGATTATCCTTGTGGAATTACTACAGTTAATTTTATTCAAAGGCTTATTACTTCATGGAAAGGCTGACAGAAGCTTATTTGTATAACGGTGTACAGTGTATAACTAATACGTCAGAATAAACAGTTTATGTATAAAAGAAAATGACAGCTAGTAAAACAAATTCGTTTAATCGGTGTTTCCCGTAACAATGTTATTTAACTTACATTTTAAATATATTTTAGACACATCAATTCAACCAAACCATTGACCCGACCAATCGGATATTGCTAATCAGCTGTTTTAGCCAGTGACGTGTAAATCGGATCGT